GATAGATAGATAGATAGATAGATAGATAGATAGATAGATAGATAGATTTTTAATTAAGGTAACATCCAGACCAACTAATTAAAATCTTCTTGCAGTGGAAGGGGTTTGTCTTTTAATAACTTTTAATTGACAGTAAGCAGGTCTTTGCAAACAGAGCAGAGTGGTTAAGCTGCCTTAATCACAGGAAGAATCCTTGATAAGATCCTTGGATTTTGGTTTCATTAGTGTTTTGATCTCCTCTGGGGTTTTTTATGACTGTTATTACTGTTTTCAGTTCATTTCCATGTTCATCATTGCTTAACAGAAAAGTGTGACCATATTCGGTAATTGCTTGGTGTTCGGTTTCTTGGCTATTCTTGTGTTCTGCTGTCCCAGCTCTTGTTAACAATTAGAACGTGTTTAGCGGAAAGGCCTAAGATGCATCGATACTTGCTTGGTTGTTTTAAAAATTTGTTTCTTGAGTTCTTTCAGCTCGGTCTAAAGCTCAAAGGTTCCACACGCAAAATTAAATGGTTCGCAGACCTTGGTAGTTGTGGAGCTGGTGCTAAACTAATCTGGAAACGTCTGGCTCCACTCCTTAAAGTCAGCTTTTTGAAATGCCGTGTCTTTCTACAAGGTACAAGAGGAGCAAAAGAAACAAAAAATGAAGCCCGTTTCTTGTAAAATTCCAGTTTTGAAAGACTGAAAGCAATGTTTAAGTTGGAAAAAGTCCCTGTTTGAGTTATTCTGTCTCACTGAGGGGTAAATTTCTTTAAAAAGGAAGGAGAACAAATTAAGCATTTCCATCAGGCGGTTTCTCAGGGGAGCGGAGGGGGACTCTGGTTCACACAGCAAAGAAAACATCCACTCAGCTGGGATTGAGACTGGACCGCAAAACACACACACACACACACACACACACACACACACACACACACACACACACACACACACACACACACACACACACACACACACACACACACACTCACTCAAAAGAAGACTTTAAAACAATACAGCGCAGATGGAAACAAACACAAGGCTCCCTTCGATGTGAAGAATGTTGTTTTGACCGCATTAGGGGACGAGACAGAGGAAGAGGAGACTCAGAGGGTCTGTCTGTTGGATTTGGAGGCAGCGAGGGGCAACTTCATGTCTTTCGCTACACCTCAGAGAGCCGATTGTTATGAAGGAAATACCCACCAAATCCCTTGGAAAGCCAGAAAAGGGATTCCGTCGAAACGCTCCTTCAGCGGGTTTTCATCAATGGCTCCTTTTCTTTTTTCCTTGCAAAAAGAAAAGAAACCCAGGACTGGAGCAAAGATCCTTATCAACAGCAAAAAAACAAAACCCTAGTATTTGTGTGTGTGAGTGTGTGCAAGCTGGAAGGTAAACGTAAAATAAGGAGAAGCCTACATGGAGGTCGGGGGTCACCTGAAGCCGCTACATCTAAATGAATAAACAAGACTGAGCGTGTTTTATTTCTATTTTAAGAAAAATAATATTTCACAAACAAAATTCCTCTTTAAACATACAATCCCTAACCCTACTATCTATATCCATTTTATTACTTTGACTTACATTCATTTTAGTATTTGTGTTTATGCCCAAATCAAAGACTCATTACCAGTATTTCCCTAACTCTAACCTTTTCCTCTTAACTGTTACCCTGAAAATGCTGACATGCAAGTCAATGAAGACATCAGTGTCATCATGACAGCCAAAGGGTGTTGAACAAACTTTAGTTCCCACTTTAGGAATCCAAACCACTCCTAAATCTTAAAAAAGGAGTCCATTGAATTAGGACCACGGTTTGGCCACCATCAGACCAGTCGATGTTGAGAAGGTCAGTGGACATACCAGAAAAGGTCCTAAACAAGGACACACACACAATGCTGTGAAACCGTAGGTCTGTATACAACTACAAGCCTGTTTCATGGCCGCTACTCCCATTTCGGAGCTGTAACACCATCCCCATGCCTCTGCCCCGGTCTGTGAGGCTTTATTTCCGTGCTTTTGTACGGTCTGCCACAGATGCCCGCCGGTGAGCAAACGCACATGCAGGTGCGCTACTTTGTGTGGCCCGGCAGAAGAGCCACAATGCGCAGATGACAGACACGGTGACTTGAGGGTGAAAGTCCTTTTGTTGTCGCCTGCTCGTCTCCTCTTACCACAACAGATAACATGTCTAGGGTTGAGGCAAGGGGGCAAGGGTGAGGAACTCATCCTGACTGTATTTTATCTAAAACACAGACATAAAGCCCCTTTAGGACGAGTGGGGAGGTCAAGTGTCGGTTTCACGTCTCCAGGACTCCCCCCACCTCCACCCACCTCCCCACAGAAGCAACAAGAAACATATGTTGTGTGCAGTAACCTGCAAAAGGCGAAATGACTCAGTGCAATTGGAAAATGCTTTATTAATCCCAAAGGGAAATTAAATGTAACCATGACTCATATCACAGAGGTTTCCTCAAAAAGTTGTTGGTCAGGAAGTAGTGAGTGAGCCTTACCGAGGAAGCCTTTGATTAAAGATCCCCTGTTGTTGCATAAACAGTCTGATGAAGATGACGCTCAAGGTCGTCTGCAATGTTCTTTGATTTATGAAAAATCCTTCTTTGCTCCATGATCATCGTCATCTCCCGAGGGAATGCTCTTCCTCAGGTCAGAGGTGATGGGAAGATGGAGGGAAACCTTTCGGAGGCTGTGAAAGATCCGAACCTGTGTGCGAAGGTTCAACTTCCACCGGGACAAATACACAACCGAATAGTTTGTGTGTCGGAAAAGACCCCGGCAAAGTCTAATCGGTGATCTGCGACAAGATTTAAAGACGAGCTTGAGCTACTTTGCAAAGAAACTTGGGTGAAAATGTACAACTCTTCATGAGAAGCTGGAAAAGGCACATCGTAAAAGACCATCTGATGGCGTCATGAAGCCTTGACTCAGCCATGTCTTTTTATTTCAACGTTCTTTTTGTTGCCGTTGAAGTTTGTCGATTTAACGTGACAAAACACAAAATGGGGTTTCTTTTGAAGAGCAACTACCAAATTGGAAGCAGAACCTGAGCAAGTTGCAGCTTTAACTTTATTGACGATCATGTAAATACAAGCCCAACCACGAAAACAGGAAAAGATCAGGGAGTTAAAACCACAAATCTATAAGTTATGTATCTTTTTGCTTGACATGTCACATGGATCTTGATTACAAACTGATTTTTTATGTCTTACTGTACATTTGTGTATTTCTCAAGGAATCAGGTCACGTTAAAGGCCTATTATGATTCCAAGCTGTGCAATGACCACACTTTGTTTCGCATGTAGAAAACGGCTTATGTAAAACAAACTCGAGGCCCCCTGTTAGCCTTTTTCCTGCTGCTTTCAGGCACAAACACACTTGAGATTGTGTAAGCTGACCCTTGAAACGAAAACAATCAGATGACGTTTTTTGTGTCGCAGCAGAAAGAGCCAGAGAAAAGGTTTCAAGGGCGTCACAGGAAATATCAGCATTTCTGGATCTTCTTTTATAACTCGTTGTCTGATGATCCATCCATCCATCCATCCATCCATCCATCCATCCATCCATCCATCCATCCATCCATCCATCCATCCATCCACATCCATCCATCCATCCATCCATCCATCCATCCATCCATCCATCCATCCATCCATCCATCCATCCATCCATCCATCCATCCATCCATCCATCCATCCATCCATCCATCCATCTTCCCAGATTCTAAATTGAAAGTTTGACCAGAAATATCTGCCATAAAATCCTCCTAATTACTTTTATTTTTCAAAACAAAGAAAAGAACAGAGAACTCTGGAGGTTTGTTCTCCACAAACTTTAACAGATCCCGTTTACTTCGAGCGTCCACATGAGCTGAGTGGACCAGGCACAGCCGCTGCGTCGATCTCACCTCTGACGTCGACGATTCAGCTGGCGAAGGATGAGGATGATCTGTGCAGCGAGAGGCAAGTGGTTTCGATCCTCCATAAGACGATGTGTGTGGTTGGCTGCCCCCCACCAGAGTAAAAAGTTACCGATCGCTACAGAGCACGACTAAGGTGTTAATCACGCAAGGTGTTACAGATTTGTACAACACCAAATCAAACCCAGAAAAACTGTTTGTGACAGTTTAGCTCGACAACTTTTGCGCTGGATCAAAGGTGTGTAAACGCATAGTGCTGAAGCAGCATGCTGCCTCCTCGGAAACAATGAAGGAAAGTAATTTTACGGTTAGCCCGGGCTGATCAAAGCTGTTTTAACAAAGCTATCTGAGCGGTAAAGTAGAAAAACCTACGATGCTGAAGGTGTCCGAATCTCGCGGTTTATGTCCACAGATGAAATGCGTCGCATTAGCTTCGCTTGGCATAGAACCGACCGAAAGGCTCCAGTTGTCCCAGCGGCGCCGTGCTCTGCACATTTTCACCGCATTCATGTCACATGCTCCTAAAGTTTCCACGTCCCTTAATCTGATTCATTTTGTTCACAAAAACAGCGACTATAGAAGGTCCCCTTGTCCAGGACTCCCCCCGATTGGATAATCAGCCGCTGTCTTAAGTAACAAGGGCACGACTGCTTGATCTAAATTCAAACAAAAAAGAAAGAAGAAGAAGTATGTGGAGATAACCAGTTCTCAGACAATCAGATCTTTGTGAAGCCAAAGAGGCTGAAGTCTCTTTCCCATGAGAGCGGAGGCTCAATATTGTCTATTAAGAAAACAGGAAGCGTAGTGTTTGTCATCCTTTTTTTTTCTTTTTTTTTTTTTTTTGTGTAAGTCCTGGTTCGCTTTTTTCCCCCCACGTTCTTTATGCACCGACCCAGATCCGACAGGTGCACCTTGCTCGCCTTTAGAGTTCGGCCTCCGAGAGGTTGACCTGTGTGTTTCTGTGCAGCATTCGTCGACTGGTTTTTATTAAGGCCCAGAGATACAGTGGTGGACAAAGGAGGACGTCCTCCGCGTGTGCTTTGGGTAATTTCTTCGAGTGAGAACGTCACGGCGAGACAAACTCGCAAAACAAATCAAAGAGAGAGGTCCTTTTTTTTCCGTAGAGTTTCCTGTCCACGAGCAACATCGTGACGGTAAAGCAGAAACGGGAAGGCGGCGCGAATCCTCTTGAACTCTCTCCTTGAACGTATCAACCAAGAAAGTTAGGGGAGAGAAAAACGAAACGGTGAGAGAGGCCTTCTCTCTCTTTGTCGATCTATTCCACTGTCTCCGAATGTTTGTGCGGGGTTTCTGTCTTTCTTTTGGCTGGTCAGCATCCGGCCGGGACGTCTGACATGAAGTCGAACTCGTTCTGTCCCAGCCAGAGCTCCGGCAGCTCGTTGGCCCTGTCCAAACCCAGCTCAACCACCAGAGACATGAGAACTTCCTCGTCCACGGGGTCAAAGTCGATAATCCCGGCCGCTCCGGAGCCTTGGCCTGCCATGCCGATCCCCACTCCCATGTTCCCGCCACCGCCCAGGCCTCCGGAGGGCCCCAGGAATTGGCCGGCCGTGCTCAGCGGCGAGCCCCCGAAGGTCTTCTGAGTCCCGCCGGGTGCCGAGTGGCCGGCGGAGACCCCCGAGGCGAGGCTCTGGTAGTGAGAGTTGAGCTTCTGCAGCTGCATGCTGGCTATGAGGTGCGGACCCGTCTGCAGACAGAACGGCTGCGGCTTGGAGAGCGGCGCGGCTGACAGCGAGACCCCCGGCAACGAGGCAGGACCCGCCGGAGAGGAGAAGGGCACGACGGAGGGCTTGGAGGACGAGTAGTGGAGGAGGGTGGTGAGAGGAGAAGAAGACGAGGAGAGGTCCTTCATCGCAGTGTAGGTGTTACCAGGGCACAGGATTGAGGTCATCACCAGGAGAACCCAGGACCTGCATGAGGACAAAGAGGAAGGACGGAGAAATGTCAGCGGACAGAAGGACGAGGAAGAGATAAGCTGGACAGCTGAAAAGTCCCGCTGATACCAGATAGGTATCATACGAGATAATTTTTCCTGCTTAGATTAGAAGATAATATAGCTGAATGGAAAAACATCCTCTTTGCATCCCATTAAAATGTCCCCGTTCCATAAGATGCTATCATCAAACTGAAAAGTCAACAACATTTGATGCTTTTTTTGTTACCGGTCCATCTGCACCGGGGTCCATTAGCATCTGGAAATGATGAGAGGCTGAGCAGTAACTAGGTATATATGTCCTATTGGGAAACAAAAAACATTACACAAAGACAATAAGTCGAAGTACAAACTGTAGAAGGCCAGCACTCCTCTGCAAATTACACTTCTAAATTATTAATGGTGAGCAAAACTTGCAATGTCAGCTCAATAATGCGACAAGTTTGAAGAAAAACATTTCTGAAAGTGGAAAACACCTTTGTTACCAGCACCTTGTGCAATTTAGCCGACTGGACAGCACAAAGTCTCCTGAAGTACTGTCCAGAACCAGAACCAAAGAAGGAGAGGCAGGATTCAGTTTCTATGCACAAAAGTCTGGGGCAAATGTCCAGAAAACTGCAAAAGTGTACTGGATTTCAAAGAATATGAGGCGCCACACACTCCAGTGTTGGTTTCCAGGGCATTTGGATGTGAAACAAGCACCAGATGCTTTTTTATGGACATCATTTTTGTTCATTGCTGAAAAACTCAATCGAAAATTAAGTTAATCAATTTTTAAGACTGTTATGAATAAGATGTACGGCCTGTAACATGACAGAGACGTACAAAGGAATGCAGGAGACAAAAATTGTGTTTTTTTACCCCAAAGAAACCGAATGACACAAGTTCCTAGAAACTCTGCTGAGTTGAAAAATCATTGTCATAAAACAAACGTGGCAGGTGTTTACGCAATCATGGATATATTGTTTTTTTTGTTAAGTATTTCTTAATGACGGATTCTTCCCCGGATGAATAAAAATTCTTACAGGTTGGATTTTTCCAAAATGTCCAGGGTGAAATGCAGCTGCTGCCATGGAACAGATGATTTCATTTTAAGTCATTTTTTTTTTTTTTTTTTGGAACACAGCTTCACCAGGAGTGCCCATAGATGTGCAAGATATCTCAATAAAAAAAACAGAACAATGTTTTATTGCAGGTTCCCTGATGGAAAAAAAAATGAAAAAAACAGCAGGTTCACTCGTGTCCCGATGGATCACAAGAGTCACATCTGTGTGGGAAAACGAGCGGCGAGGCGATCCTGGTGCCGGGACGGCCGCATGACTCTCTGAATTTGAGAATGACTTGGTGTGTGTGTGTGTGTGTCTGCTTTTCCTCCTGACCTATTGAACAGCAAATTAACCATGAAAAGGCCCGTGGGCACCGGCGACTTGAAGTAGTGTTTATGGGGCTGAGTATGTAGGCTGGTGTGTGTGTGCGTGAATGAGACTCCCAACACAACAGAGCCTTTGAGGATCTCAAGCAGAGCCTGGGTCACATGTGGAGGGTTTGGGGGGTGCATATGTGCTCTGAGAACAGGCCATATGTCTGACTGCGTCTCAGAAAGTGTGTGTGTGTGTGTGTGTAAAACTCAGATATGTTATTGCAGTGTGCGGAGGTAAATAGGCTGAGTAATGCAATGCGTGCGTATGTGTGTGAGCATGCAACACAATCCTTAAGGCTCATATTATGGCCTCCGAGCTGGTTTATATTACACTTAGTTCAAAAAACATGTGTGCCTTGACACACACACACACGCACACACACACACACACACACACACACACACACACACACACACACACACCCGTGCGCAGCTTCTCCTCTGGCTCTTATTTAGAGAGAGCATAATTGCTACAGGCAGGCATGCAGCTGCACCCCAACGATAGCGCTAACACACAAACAAAGATCCCAAACAGCTGTCAATGGCAGGTTTGTGCGTCTGTTTATTATTCATTGGCCGATTACTGTCAGGGGCCAGGCCGCGCACCGGGCCTCTGCCCAACAGCTTGACACCACATGAGCACAGAAGATGCAAACATAAACACCCCACTGATACCTTTATTTTATTTAATTTGATATTATTTTTCCACTTATAACAAGCGTTTAGAAGGATTAAAGTATTCAAGACAAAAAAAATAAAATAAAGAAAGACATTATATTGTATTTGTAATGAAAATGTTTTTTTTTTCTTTCTAAAACGATTTCCTATAATGATCTTTGTTTACTGGTATGTCTTGCGCCGTCTATCTTTCGCCCGCATCTCTGCAACAGAGGTCAAACGAGCGCGTTTTCAAGCCAGGAGAGAAAACTTAAAAATAACAGGGTGAAATGCCAGCCTTTAGCGCAGATCCAGGCCTTGTTTGGGCAGTAAAGTGACATATATGAATACTCTCACCACTTCTACTTCCATGCTTGCTCTCCACCCATCGACTCTTTTGGCAACGGGAAAAAAAATTGAGGCAAGTTGTCTGTACTGTTCAACTCTGCCAGTAGATGCCACCACCCCCTTCAATCAGACACTCAGACTTAAAAATGAAGACTTATCTACCCACAACTTGAATAATGATTCCAACAAGCAACAACCACACTGTATTAAAGCGTGTTGGTGCAGCAGTGGAAAGTTTTTTTTTATTTGCCATAGCTGACTCTCTTATCTTTGTATGCCAGGGAAAATAACAAAATAGCAAACTTGCATTTAAATACTTAAACAACACATGCATTTCAAAGGGCCAAATTTAGATTTGATGCTAATTTGAGCAGCAGTGTGGAAATAATAATAATGAAAAAAAGAATAAACACAAGGATTCTCCTTGTTCTGTAAGTGCAACAGCCTTGTGTGTGTGTGTGGGGGGGGGGGGGACAGCAGCTACCTGTTCGGTGAGGATGTTACAAAATACGTTTTATTTATGAAATGTTTTCAACAGAAAATAAAGCTATTCTGAAAACCGAGGGCTGGATGTCCCTCGCAATCTGAACCGACCTCCACCGAAACGTTTGTGTGTGAGTGGAGGACCAACAGAGTGAGGAAGGATGCTGTGAAAAACAACTGAAGGAGGACCAATGTTTTTGTTTTTTTTTGGGATCCCCCTCCCTTACTTACAGCTGACCCGACTTCATTGTGTTCCTCCCTCACATTCGCAGCGCTGTGAAATCTCGGTTTCGTTGGCAAATTATTTCATTAGCAGTCTGGTCTGCTGTCTTGGCTGCCAGCAAGTCGGCATCTGTCTTAATTTTCTGCTGAGGTAATTAAGCCAGACTCTCCCAGCAGGCCGTAGAACTTCATATGGTGAACATTAACCGAAGGCCTACAACTCTAAATCACCACTGGAAATACAAACACGAGGACCAGAACGAGCTACGAGTTGACACGGCTCTGGCTACCATCAGCAGCCCCAAATTGTTTTGGACCTTGACTTTAAGTTAGCTGAAGCCATGATGTGGCTGGTGTCATAAATTTGACCTTTAAATTCAAGAAAACCCTCAAGAACATCTTGAAGTTTTCAGCGTGACAGACTTGTGAAAAAAGCAGTTACCCATTCAGCGATGATTTTTTTATTTTTTTGGTTCCTTTGTTGTTGTTTTTTGTTTGTTTTTAATAGAAAATAGACCAGAAAATCTGGACGTGCCTCACATTCTGATTCTGAGTCGACCTATCTCGACACGCAATTAGCAAGCGTTCGCTAAGCAGCCAATCAGGGCGCTCGGTTCATTTTCCTCGGCACTGGTTGGCTGCACCCCCAAGAGCGGAGCCTGGGAAAACTAGATATAAAGAGGGTTTCCAGTCTGTTTCGATGCATATTAAGATCTTTTGAACTATTAAAGGAGACAGCTATAAGTATTTTCAGAGGAGATTTCACTAGTTTTAGTTTATTCATAGGCAACTGTCCATTTACAGAGGAGAACAATGTTAGCAAAAGAATCAAAAGGAAAGTCATTGCTGCTCCATTAGTCCTCAAGCAATAACCTCGTTCACTTCTCTCCATACTGCGTCTCTCTGAGTTTCTTCTTTAAAAGCATCTCTACTGGCCTGTCTAAGTATGTTACGGAGCTCCTTTGCTGCCACAATCCGACATTTTCAGTGTCAAGACAAACCGAGAAGTCGTGAGAGTGACACGGTCATGAGACTCGGCACGCGCATTTCTGCGCGAATACGACGTCGTTGTTTGGCGAAGAAAACCAGCGACGAACAGAACAGCGTCCCCTGGCGAAACTGTTGGAAGTCAAAATGTGCAAGTTTCGGGACGCGTCCACCGGGTATGAACATTTTTGGTCAAAGTTGTTCTGTTTCGCACGGGCTTCGCCCTTTAAGGCTAGCGATAGCAGGTCCAACCCTCGCGCAGCGCAGCACCGAAAAACGTTAGCATTCCAGAACTTCCTCAGATTCCTGATACGAGAACTATTATTGGTCATACCTTCGCAAAGCACAAGTAAAAAAAAAATCCAAACAATTTTTTTTCTTAACTTTAAAAACTGTTAAACCAAGCTAATTTGCTAAAACAGCTGATTCTCATTTACAGCTGGAAATAGTCGACATAAGATATGAATGTAATTCAAAAACGGCGCAGCAGGGAAAGTACGGTTTGGTTAGTACGGTTATGAGTCCAGAACGTCAGCTACCAAATGGTACTTAAAGGAATTACATATCGGCGCTAGAGAGATTTTGTGGTGCAGCGAATATAAAGAGCGTTCTGGGAGTTCGGGGAATCACAAAGTGTCGTTTGAGTGCAGACACTCAAACCTCCAACTACAACAACAACAACAGCGGTTTCAGTTACACAGTTACAGACTGGAGAGCTAATTAAAATGTCAGTCCTGCTCGCTCACACACACACACACACACACACACACACACACACACACACACACACACACACACACACACAAACCAATGGCTGTAATTGCCTCCACATTGAGGATGGTTAATAAGAGGGAAATTAAAAACAGGAACAACAGTCTGATCTTCACGAGTAACATTTTACAGTTTGTGCCTGTTGCACAGAGAGCAAGCATTGACTTTTAACTTTAAATACATTCTCACTAATTCTAATGCTAACACATAATGGCAGGCTCCTAATACACTGAAGAAACTCCTGAGATGTTCATTGAATCTACTACAAAAAGCAATAAATTAACATAGCAGTATGACAAAAAAATAATAATAAAATAAAAAATTGATTCATCACAAATGTTCTGATGTCATGATGTGGGGGAAAAAATAAATCAGAGATGGACCAACCTGCTCGGAGTTTGAAAAGCCCAGTCCAAGTAGAGAGAGAGAGCGTCTGCTGTGGATGTGAAAGTGAATTTACTGGAGATGCCGAGGTCTGTGTTCACAGAGTGACTGCAGGAGGCTCTGTCAGACCCTCAGAGAGCTGCTTGCTGAATAAAAAGCAGTTTGTGTGTCACTCCTTCTCACTGAAAAGCCCTGTGTGTGTGTGTGTCTGTGTTTATGTGTGAGTTCAAACATCCACAAACCAAGGAGTGGAGTTTCACTGGATCTGGACTGAAAGTCTCATTGGCACAGACAAGAAGAAAACCCTAGAAACCTTGTTTTTAGGGTTTTATTTAAATGCTTTTAGTTTTATTATTTAGCATGTCATGCTCTACTTAACGTGTTAAAGTCGGAGGAACAGCTTCCCGTTACAGAGGAACTGTGTATCCGCCGTCATCGGTAGGCATGCTAGCTACCGTTATCATTCCTAGCAGGCTCCGGGGCGTGGTGATTAATCGTGATTAATCGCAGGACGAGAGTGCGATTGATCTGATTAAATTTTGTGATCAATTGACAGCAGTAGTTCAAACACATAAAAAGGACAGAACTGCATTGCTGTTGGCTTAGTTAGCAGCGCAGCAATTGGTAAATCAAACTGCGCAGTTAGATTCTTGTTCTATTGTAGAGCCTCTTGTTGACCGTAGAAAACATGCTACCATATGTTACACTGGCGGAAACCTCCACCTCTTCCAAATCACTTGCAAGAGAAAGGAATCTATGATAGAGTTGCGGTTTGTACAGACTGACGCATGATCAGACATTTGTTCTTTCATTCAAGGCTGAAAGAACAAGAACAAAGTTGTTCCCGGACAGGACATTTCATACAGAACTTCATAAGAACTCTCGGGAAATCGACATGCGTCCCTTCAAACGCTAATGCATCATTGAAACCCTCCCAAACCACGTTGTCAAGAGCAGGGTGATGTTATTTTGTTCTTGTGAGAACAAATTTCTCTCTTGTTGACAAAGTTTGTTAGACCTTTATGGACAAGAAATGTAACAACAGGTTTCATTCTGCTGCTAGCTGCGTTTCCAGTGACCATATATTTGTGCAAAAATGCATTTTCCTGGTAGAAACAAGCCAATTTCTGAAAACCATTTGTTTTTCGATAAAACAATTTTAGTGCTAGACTGTGTTGAAATTAGTTTGTTTCGCCAAACTGCAATGGAAACGTCACGCAATCAACAACCGGATGTTTCCACTGGCGCAAACCACAAAGAAGGCGACGACAGGAAGTAGCTGGACGATATTGGCTTTTTTTAAAATTGACAACACAAAAGAAAAGTGATTTATTACGCAAAATAAATCACTTATCTAGTGGATATATTGCAATTGCAAAAAGTTTGTGCGGATTCGTAATGGGAACGCAGGAAATGAAAACCCTAAAATCGATCATATTGAATGCTTTGTTGGCCTTTCGGAAACCGTAACTAATCTACGTGAATCGGAGTCTTCATCAAGTTCTAGAAACATTCACTTGTGAAAACAGACAAACAAACAAACCAAAGAATTGTAACTTCCCTCAAAATACTGTTCAAATGCAATCAATAAAGCAAAAAGTCCGTATTTTAGCTGCTGCTGAGATGGATGTATTCGTGTGATTTTACAGAGAAGAGTTGACTGACACTATGGAGCAATTTACTGGAAAAAAACCCCAAAAGCAAAAAAAAAAAAAAAAAAACATTTGCCAAAAGGCCATAACCGGGCGTGTACGCTGTAATCTAAACGTCCTCCCCCGTGTAGCTGCGCTTGTCGGTGCTGGAAAATCAGATGTAAAACACCTGTGCGATCACATGGCAGCAATCATCGGCAGGGATTATCTCATGTTTGCGCTTCAGATTAAAGTAACCGTGGGCTCCACGCATCCATCGGTGTGAAGTAACGGAACATTGCTGGGACTTTTAGGTGACATAAGGTTCAGCTGCAGTGGAGCCACAAGTGCTCGCTCAAAGTGAAGTCGACTGAAAGCAATAAAAAGTCTTGAGCCGCAGAAGTTTTATGTCAGGGTTAATACTATTATTTTTATGTCCTCTCTCCCACGGGAAGAGAGCAGAAAACTTCGAGGAAGGCGTTTTTATGATGCATAGGCAAAAAATATCCGTAGACTGAGGCTGGCGAGTTTTCATTCTGTGGAAGAAGCCGTTCGTTACTGAGTCACTCAACAACAAACCTGCTTGGAAACGTTCGTTCCTGCTCCGTTTGTTGGTATAATGAGGTCAACGAAGGCCCGTTTCCTCATTCTGCCACTAATTTGACTCACGGTCATCAGGGTATTCCGTGAAAACCGACCAAGGACGCATAAATAGACATTGTTAGAAGAAACTGTTGGATACGATGTCTGGCCTCTGACCTTTTGATGTTGACCAATACCGATGTGCGGCAAAAACGTTCAACAACAGATATTCAGGAGATGTGTTAGGTCATTAGAGAGCATATTTGTACAATCGATGTGAAGAAAACCAGAATAATTGACTCAAGGAAACATAAAGAGGTTTCCAACATTTCAGTTTTGATTGCTCCACATTTGGCTTTTTGCATTAAAAGGTTTTCTGTAAGAAAAAATCAACATTCAGTCACTAAAAGCAGGATTTTTAATATAATAATCCAAACTGATCAATTCAACAATCACCTGTGTCGTTCCCCTTCCGAATCTCTCAAAAGTCAGACCGGTCCTGATCCTGGCCTGGATCCGTTCTCCGGCATTTGCAGGCGGCCGGTCCTCAGGGCAGATGTTGCTCACTCTGAGGCAAACACTCTCAGGAATCAGATGGAGCGTTTCAAACCCCTCAGTCTTTGTCCCTGTCACTCACACATGTAGACAGGGAGACCATGGTGGTCCGCGGGTCATTTGCATATGTATACCTTCTCTCCTGCGAGGTCTTCGTTCACTGTCACTGCAGACGCAGAGGAGAAACCGTTGAATTGCTCATCAGGGAGAGAAATCAAATTTTGGGTCAAAAATAATAATAATAAAAAAGCACTGGTTCCATAAGTGTAATAAGTTATTTCACTTATTACAAGACATTTTTCCCATTTTACATAAAATAATGCGAAACTGGAACCAGGACTTTTGATTGATATTAGCTGAAAAGTTATTTGTAAGTTAGTTTTGTCTTATTTCGACTGTATGAAGATATTTGCTCTAGAAATCTTGATAAGACTTTGTGCTCTTGCAGGGCAGACAGGAAGCTGCAGCAGCCAACACAGTCAGTCAGTCACTTTCATTGCCACCAAGGATTTAAAAAGTGCCTTCGATCGGATGACGCTTAAATCCAGGTTTGTCAGACTCATTTTGGGTCACATCAAAACTCTGACTGTTCCTAAAGAGCAGGTTGAGCCAAAACATATTGATAAAACCACTGTTAAATGATCAATAAATATCTGTCTCTTTCAGCATGTAATACGTGTTTCTTAAAGTTAAGCAATATTGGACATCTTTACACACTGATCGGTCCATCTAGGATTTTGCGATTGTTTTTATGGTTCAGAATCAAAACCTCAGATTTTGTGGTGCTAATTAAGAAATATTTGTAAGGATTTTTTGTTTCAATTTTACATATTCATGAAAAACCGGAGGGACTTTTGGCGACGTAATTTGGAGTCTAGAGGGCCGCGTAAAAATCTGTGGCGGGCTGGATTTGGCCCACGGGCCTTGAGTTTGACACATGTCCTAGTCTTCGTTTCCACTTTCTTAAATGTAAAAAAAAAAAAAAATTAAAAATCCAATCAGTCAAAGTAGGGGTAAAGTCAACAAATGATGGTGAAATAAAAACCAAACAGGAAGAATCAGACACAGTCTTGCAGTCCATTTCTTCACTCCCTCAAATTGTATTAATATTTCAGATAACCAATTAAAGGCTAACTTTCCAGAAGACGCGCTTGTTCAACTGTCTGAATATCTGTTTTACTTGTCACCGGAAGAAAGAAGTAGAAGTTAGAGCTTATGATCAAATCTGTAGAAAATCTGATTCTCTTCCGATGTTTTTAAATCACTCAGATCTTTCAGGGAGGGGGGAGGGGGAGAAAAAAAAACAAACAAACAAAAAGAACAAGCCCGTTCCCCGTTCATGACAAGTGTGCCTCCGTGCGGTGGAGTGCCGCGCGCTCGGCCTTTCTTCCGTTAAGCAGATAAAAGGTGGCATCTGTCTTTATTGTGCGAGTAAATCCCCTCCGCCATTGACCGCCCGACACTTCACATGTTGATGTGGAGGAGGATGTATAGACGGAGGAGGACGCTGCTTTGTTGTCCTTCCCCGGGGAGGCGTGGGGTGGGGGGGAGACGTTATGCAAATCGAACAAAACCGTTTGTGATTTTCATCTTCATGGACAAATAATTATGACACATGAGCCGAGCCGCCGAAGAGAGAATGATGTGTTGTTCTTCTTTTTCTCCTCCCAGCTGCCAGAAAGTTTGGGAGGCAGAGACCTGGAAAAAAAAAAGTAAACATATAGATAAGATGGGAGTTCCTCAAGCTCACTACGTTGGTTCTCGTTTTGGGTGACTTGGAGAAGCTCCAGAATGACAAGACTTATGCAAATGTTTGTCGCGCCTGCCAAGGCTTTCAATAAGAGGAACAGGAAAAAAGCGGAGAGGACAGGGCCCCGGGTTTATCGGCGCTAATCAACGCCAAAAGGTCAAACAGTGCACTCCACTCACACCACGTGATTGCATCTACTTTACAGAGTCGATGTGAATGTGTGATTAGTCACACTGCGCGACGTAGGTCATTCAAAATGCCTGCGTAAATGTGAAAAAACTCTTTCCACATTTATCCGTTCGGCTTTCTTTTGGGGGGAGGAAACCGCATCAGTGGCCGTTGACTGGACGGCGTGACGAACGGAGCCAAGAACAACTCCTGACAGCCTCTGACCTCACCGGGCTGGTGGCGGACGGTTTTTCCTTTACAGGAATCACAGTCAGGCCTTATGTAAGATGATTTATCCTCTATGTTTATAGGTCTACGTCGCAAGGATTATCTAACTTTCTTGTATGCCAGCCTGGGTTGAGTGAGTCCCGAAAGCACTTTCTAATAATAAAAAAGTTTAATCTGTCATTGGCTGAACTATCTATATTACTTACCATAAAGATTAATCTCATAAAACTGCAGAATATGG